TTTACATATATATATATATATATACACACACACACACACACATATATATATATGTTTTGCCTATTTGGACAATTTCTGTCTCTTCTTCTTTTACTCCTCCTAATTCAATCACTTAGGGTTCCAATTTCTTGTATTACCCAAAAAAGGACAAAGTTTTTATCACTCCATCTTGCAATATTCATGTGGGTATTTTGGATTTGTTGTAAACAAAACATTTGGGTGTTGACAAAAACAATTCTATTTACTTCAAATTCTAACTTAATAGTGATATATTTATACATTAAGACTATATTATATATTATAATTACACACATGTTAAGATCAATATATAAAAAAAAAAACAAAAGTAAAAATAATCAAAACTTAACCAAACAAATAGTAAAGGAATAATCTTTTTATTTTTTGTAGTTATTTTTTAAACGAATTTGGTTGTGATTCGATATTTTATTGTCGAATGAGTTTATTAGATAAACAATTTATCGTCTACGACTTTATTAATGTAACGTGTTAAGTACACTTTGAAGTAATGAGTATCGATTGAGTAAATTAAATTGTTTACGCAAGTTTTACAATAATTTCAAAGTTAAATTGAGAATTCTTAACACGGTATATAAAAGATTTTATTAGATCGTGAATGATTAGCCGATTTTAGGGTATTCATTAAATTATAAATTTGACTGAACTAGTTTATTTTTTAAAACCGCTTTGAATTGAAAAGTAATTCATTTCAATTTAGATATATATACATATATATATATTTCATCGTGTGAAATATCACATATCACAATTCATAACAATAAATTTCATTTGATCACTAAGAAATTTACGATATTATCGTGCATAAAATTATTCACTAATTTAAAAAAGACAATATTTAATATTGAACTTTGAAAGAAAAAATCGATTGTTTAAAAAATTAAAACATGATCAGAAAATGAAACGACGGTGAGAGACGGGAGGCAAAAAATGAGAAGTCGACAGCATTTTAAAACCAGGGCACGGTTATGAGAAGAAACAAGGACGAGAGATAGGAAGCAAGAAGAAGATATCAATATATTTTTGAACTAGTTATTCCTATCTATCGATCGAGTAGATAAGAGAAAAAAAAAAAGATTGAAAGAAGGCATCAAAATTTAACTTTTTTTCATTTTAAATTTTGTTTTTAACATGTTTCAATTTATTTTAATAATCTGAACGTGTCAAAATTTTTATATTTAAATTGAAATATATTACTGAATCCAATATTTATTTTTTAATAAGATTTTATCTAATATTAAGACGATCAAAGTTTCTCAGGACTCTCAAGATCAAATCTAGCTTTTGTATATTCTTATAGGTATATATATGGCTTTGACAAAAGTGGATGGTTGATTGGGTGAGTTTTTATCCATCACTAACTAGAAAGAAAATGGTTGGCAAGAAGGTCTTAATCCTCCATTAAAATACAAATAAAAAATTAAAATTAAAAGAAGATGGGTTAGTGGAGGGCCCCAAAAAGCTAAGCATTAAAATGGGTTGAAAGACTTTTGCAATTTGCATGTTCAAAATCTCATTCAATTTTGGACCACTTCTTTCTTTTTTTTTTACCTTCCCACAACACACACAAACACACAGTGTGTGTGGAGACTGCAAAATGTTAAAAACTCGAAAGGGTTTTCCGTAAAAACATATAATTTAACTCGAACTCATAATTCATTAAAAAATACCAACAAACTATCCGAATCGGTTCGTGCAAATCTCCATTGAAGTATTTTTAAGCAATCAAATTATATCATTGCTTTACCCACACACTTACCATTTAAACCCATATAAACATTATATAAATACATAACATGCTAAAAGCTGAAAGAAACAATTTTATTTTGTTCTAAGAACAAAAGGACCCAGAACTCTTTTGTTTCTTCTCTTTAACAATTCTCACAAACACTCGGTGGGCACCGCAAAATGCAAAACATGACAAAAGCTGTAGTAATAATTTCATGGAGGTGTGAGTCGTTGAGAGAATGTTTGGGATGCATGCATATATTTTTTTTTTATTGACCAGTTTTACGTGCACGTTTTGATCAATGTTCCATACAATGTTAGTCTTTTTTTTTTAGTTGATGATTGTAGTGCAAATATTGAATCATTTATACAAGAAAAAACTTATACGATCTCGGTATAAATGAATCGAACATCTTACAAATTGTTGTTTATTTATCCTGATTTTATATAAAATTATTATATTGGATGAACATGTAAATACACACATGCGGTATAGGAGATTTGAACTGAGTCATAAAAAAAAATGGAAACCCAGTAATAATTTTCAGTCTTTTTTACCCTCCCCCTCCCCAAGAAAACCTTATCTTCCAAGCATGATCACCCTTTTTCTTTTCTTCAACATTCTCACGAGCATTTGGCAGGCACCGGAAAATATGAAGGAAAACATGCCAAAAAGCTTCTTTCTGCACCATAATTCAATGGATCTGAGGTGGGATGAGTTGCAGACAAGCTTTCTTTTTTATTTTTTTGATTTTTGGGAACTTACACATGTTGGCTAACACGTTATAATAACAACAATTATAATAGTAATAACAGAAAGACTATAATATTTCACCGAACACATATATATATTTTTTAATAAAATTCATCGTTCTCGCACATAAAATTAGTGAAATACTATTTATTGTCTCGTAGAGAAGTTGTGAATTCGAATCAAACTGTCGTTCTTGATGAAATATGGGAAAGAGAAAGAAAAAAAGGGTAAAAATGTGGGATGAAAGTTTTGGCTTGCAAGTGTGGGAAAAAATTGGGATCGGGATCGGACCATTTGTATGTTAGAGGTTAAAAGATGGTTGAAAAGATGCCGAAAAGAAACAGTAAGAAAGTGAAATCTTCAAGGCAAAAAAGCTAATCAAACTCTGACATTCTTTTTCTTTTTTCGGTGCAATCTTCAACATCTAACAACACTAGTCACTTCAACAAAATATTCACATCTTTTGGATTAAATTAGGGTGGTAGCTAATATTTTAATTAAATTTATATGTAAATGGGTTTTGGAGACACCAAAAAAAAGTATATTTCATACGTATAATATATATATTTTGGGTTGAGTGAAAAAAGAGAAAGAGAATAGTAATTTGGTTACAAAAGCAATAAATGAAAAGCATTGACAATAAGCAAGTAAGCATGCACAAGGGAGAGGTGAATAAAGTCATAGTTGTAGTTTCCTTTTTTATGGCTCCTCCAATTGTGGAAACTAAGTACCTTCTCCCACCATTATTGCCTCCTTGAACCTTCATTTCCCAATTTTTGTTTCTACCATGCTAAATAGTTAACTACTAATCCCACCCTTAATAATTCTTGTATTGTTTTTCTTATATAACAAAAACATAATTAATTAACGATTACCCATTAATTATCTTTTGAAAAACTAGTTTATATAATCGTATGGGTTTTGTTTGGAAGATGAAAAAGGACTAGCCCTTTTAGGTTCTACGTCCTTTATGCTTTCACATTAAGCTTGTCACAATCTCCAATATGAAAAGGGTTTTGCTTTGCACAACTATTTTCTTTCTTTTTTTTTTTTTCTTCCCCTTCCGTGGCCCTCCAACTTCATTAATTTCAATGTACAAGACTATCCAGATTGTAATTAGCTTTGTTTGTAGAATTATGAAGGGGGGGGAGGGGGAAATAGGAAGAAGCAGCCAAACAAGGAACTTTCAAGACCCTCAATTGTTGTCATAATTTTGAAGTCAAAACTCGATCCAAATTGATCTCTTTAAGGAATAAGTGAAAGTTCAAAACTATTGAGAATCATATAAGAGGAGGCAGGAACTCTTTAACAAGAAAGTGATTTTTGTTAATCGAACATCATTTTTCTTTTAATGTTAATGTGATTTGAGACATAATTTTTATGTAAAGTAAAAGGATCTCGATCATTAGGTTAATATGAGTCTTAAAACATAATTTGAAATTGTGTATTTGTATATTATGTAATCTCGTATTATATATATATATATACAAAAAAATTGTAACAATTATCAAATAAAATTATCAAGAATCATATATGCAAAAGTATAAGAATAAAAGGATACTCCTCGTTCAAATGTGAAATTTTATATAAGATAAACCAATAATTTAAGAGTTCGATATATTTATTTTTGTTTATTATGGTGACGTAATATTTTTTGTAAATTTATGTCAGCAAAATTATATACTATTCTAAATTCAACATATATTTCGGTCTACTAAAAATAAAATAAAATTACTACCAATATTTTTAATTTTTCTTAAAAGTTTGACGTTGTAAATGGTTTAAAAGGATTGACCCACAAATCCAAATGTTTGAATCTAGCCGAGAAGAGTCTCCAAATTATGAACTCAACCCCCCCCAAATCTTGTAAATTAACAATTGAATTTTTGAAATGAGAGACAAAGTTATGCAAATTAAAGAAGACAGGCCTTATTGGGTTGTTAAATGACTTTTTTTTTTTAAAAAAAAAAAAAGTCAGCCGGCTTCTAAAGTCACCCAATTAACTTTTTTTTTAAAAAATTACTTTATGGGAATTTAGGAGTCAATTGGGTCCAACCCTAATCACATCATCTACAGATTTATATTCATTTTCTCCTTTAAACTATCTACTCAAAACGCCAAGAATCTTATATCTAATTAGTAGCCAAGCCAAGCCATAAATAATCAATCAACATTCCTCTTCTCCAACCACTATGCAATTGCAATCACCAATACCATGTACTTTTGTGGGCATACCCCTTTTTTTTCTTTCTCCAAAAATTTCTTAAACTTCTCTTACAGCAGATCACGAAAGATTTACTTTTAGAATCTTTTATAGTAAGTAGCAATCATCGAGTAACTTACAGTAAAACTAAGCGGTTAAGTAAAACTAAACTTCGGTAGTAGGAGTTTTCTACCAATGATGCCTTGGGATTGCCGTAATAATTAACCCCGCCCGATAGTGCGAAACTGCAGGATAAAGATTCTGAAAAAGAAAAAGAAAAAGAAAACCATATATAAATTTTCTGCAGGGGTACTCTCATCACAATGCAATTTCAACTACATCCCAGGGAGTACAAGAAAATGGAAGGTTGGGGTTTTACCCTTTAGTCATCAACTGTATTATGGGCCCTTAAACTATGTCTCAGCCCAAAAGCCAAAAGGGGAGAGGGGTGGGTTTAACTTTTCAAAGCCCTCTTTCTCTTTCCCTCTCCCTCTCTCTCTCTCTCTCTCTCTCTCTCTCTACAACATTATATAATACAGCTGCTGTTAAATTGCAATGAAATGGGACTGTTGATGCTTCTAATCTTGATCCTGCTGCAACTGTTGCACCTAATAAACAAAAAATGAAGATGGGTGGACAGAAAAATGACGCATCAAGGATTTTTGAGAAAGAAAAACACTCATATAAGATGACAAAACAAATTTTAAGACCAACGCAGAAGCAAGACTTGTCGGTCTCATCCTCTCCTCCTCCGTAACGATCATCAGATCTTGAGTTGTTTCAAGCTCTGTACTGTCTGGGATACTTGCAAACTCTTCGCAGCAGCGGTGGCCCCGGTTTCCTCTACATGAGCAGTTGACTTGTTTGGCATGGCAGGAAAAATGACACCCATGTTGTCTTCTTTACGAACAGCCAAAGATTCCTTTTGAACTGGTGGAGCTGCAAAAACTGGCACTGCCTGCCTGATGGTGACTGGCGGAGCAATTCTTATGGGCGAGGTTCGCATTAACTGAGAGGGGAGTGCAGAAGGTGGTGGCTGTTGAGCAAGCAAAGAGGTCGGAGGCTTAGGAAGATTCACTGAAGCTGGCGGCTGAGAGGATATCATAGATGTTGGAGACTGGGAACATGCAGGTGGCTGGGTGGGAAGAACCGCCGAAGGGGGTTGAGACGGATGTGTGGATGCTGGTGCTGGCTGTGGAGAAAGTAGAGAAAGTGAAGGCTGAGGTTGATTGGCATTTGCTGGTGGTTGACAGGAAAGAACGGATGGTGGAGCAAGTGGAGGTGCAGAGAAAACAGGCACTGCAGTTCTTATTGTCACTGGTGGTGCAATGCCATGACAAGACGTCCTATACTGTCGCATGGGAACATATGGAGCAGCTCCTGCTGCTGGGAACTTCTGGGGACGAGTCCCACGGACTTCGAGTGCAGTTGCCTGTGAAGCTGGCATAGATCTGTCATTCACTGACATAGAGCCTACTCTGTTTCGAGGAGATGACTTTGCACAAATGAAAGGAAGGATCCTAGAGGTAGTAGCAGGCGGAGGCTGCGGACTTGTTGGTCTTTGGGTTTGAACAGGAAATTTCTTTGTGAATGGTATAACTGCATTGGGAGAGTTTGCCATGGCAATCTTTTCTTTTAGTCGGTAATTTAACAAGGCCCGGGCTATTGTAACCTGTTCAAGCTCATCATTATTCTCTGGCTCAGATGAAGTGCTCGCAGTTTCTTTAGCCACTGATAAAAAAGAAGATAGAAAATTATCAATTACTTCTGGCTGCACCCAGGCTTGACTCAATTTGGATGCATATACCATGGCACTAATACGTAAATCATCAAACAAATATTCCATTAAGACTGAATACTATGGCACAACTATGCAAAAAGAATCAGCAGAAAGAAGGTTGATGATAAGAATTTTAGATAGGTTGCCTTCTGTTCAAAATGGTCGGAGTGAAAAAGAGTCTGGCTTGACAAAGTACCACCCAATTAAAGACAGAAAAGATGCATTCATGGGAAATGGTTGTTGGTGAATGAACCCGCCCAAAGCTACGTCTACATTCAAAAACTTTACATAGATTATACAAGACTCAAAATCCCAACACAGGACCATCTATAAGTGGTACCATTGACTTTTTTTTTTTTTTTTAATGAAAGAAGTACCATTCACTTTTTAACTAGAAGGACCAACAGTTATTTTCGAAGAAATATATAAAGTGGACAACTGGACTTTGGGATCGATTAATCATGCATATAGTAGAACAGCCAATACATCCTATAAAGAGAAGTGCTTAGCAATGAAAATTTAGAGACTCACATTGTTTTAGAGAAGACCAAGCTGCCATAGCCGCATTCTTTTCAGCTTGCTTTTTGTTCTTGGCAGGGTCCCCTGTAAATGTTATTCCAGCTAATTCTACTGTTCCTGAAAAAACAGGTAGATGTCCAAGGCCTGACCTAAATGTTGTGTATTGTGGCAACGGAGCTCCAACTCTTTGTGCAATTTCCTGTAGGAGGTTCTTGTAAACTCCTGTCTCATCCTAATTGGAGGCAACATAAGTTAGTATCAAAACAACAGAGCACAGAAGCAATCTGAATGCACATGGGGACATAAAATTAAACATTTACACAATACTTTGTTTGAGCTCAAGTTATTGCATTATCATTAGTCACAGAGACTGCATGATTGGTTCATGAATAGGATTTTATTGAAAAGTTTTTGACAAAGACCTAACTGCATGCTTACGAGATGTACCAACAACGTAAATGATAAAAAAGGAGCATGTTCAGCAACCTTAAAAGAGCTAAATAAGCTTGCAAACTACTTTCACTTTCAGCAGCACATGGAAACGCAAATATTTCATCATTATCAGTAACCTTTGCTGGAGCAGCAATAAAAATGAGAACACCAACAGGACATGCAGATTGGAGCTTAAGTATGTCTTTCACAATATAAACGTCAGGCACTTGCATAAATGAATGTACCAATAGGAATTTATCAGAAAAGCATATGCATTATATATGGCCAACCATCTGAATAGACTAGTGTTTTGTACATGTGTCATATTTAACAGAGGAAATATTTTATGATAAAAAAGAAGTTCAGTGCAAAAGAAGAATCAACATTTAATTGGCAATACATTTTAGTCACAGTATGGGATAATTTGCTCTACATACTACAATGTCATCTCCATAAAGAAATAAATGTAAAATGAAATCAATTTGATAAATTACATAAGCAAGACATTACTTCATATCGGCAGGGCATTTAAGTTGTACTAAATATAAGATCCCTTAACATTTGTTTGAATGTCTAGACAGTGAAATGACTGAATTGGAAAACCTGAGCTTGAATATACGAACATTGGACTCAATAAAATGGAATGGACATAAACAATTTTTGAAATTCCTTTTAAGTAGTTAGCCAATACCAAGGAACATTAGGTGGCAAAAAGAAAATTTTCCTTTTGAAACAAGGCTCAATTTTATCTCTGAAATATTTACCATCTATCTAATATAGCAAAATACCATATTGCCATGGAAAACAAGCTGCTTCCACAAACAATTTGTGCAACAAATAACCATAAACTTTTGTATCCAGTCCAAAAGAACAGAAAATATGAGTAACTTAAAGTTGGATCACCATCACTCATTTGTAAGAAATACACAGGTCACCTTCGTTAACAATCTAAACATTCCTCTCAGTTCAAATAAAACTTTTCTCTGAAGTGATTCTCCCTCACAAAAATGAAAATTTTGTTGAGACAGGGATGCTAGCAGTCAATAGACGATTTCATTTTAAACAAAAAAACAGGAGGTAAATAACTAAAAACCTATATTGAAATGAGGAATCAAAACAGAACATTTGAACAGGAAGATGCTCAAGCAAACCTCCTGTCCTCTTTCATTCTCTTCTCTTAGTTTTCCAAGTAACCAAGCAGAAGGTAAGCCAAGCAATTAGTTTCACCAACCAACTCATAAAACCAAGTACAGTTGTTTTCCAGATATAAAAGACAGAGAAAACCAGATGGTACTTTGTTCGAATCCTCCTCTGAGAAATTTCTCAGTTCCTAAGATTTGATTTTCTAGCCGTCAGCCAAGTCAGAAAATCTCACCGAAAGGATGGACCCTCAGAAAATCTCACCAGGTGATGAACCCCTAAAAAGACAAAAACAAAAACAAAAACAAAGAAATGGACATTCTCGTCATTCACTTCTCTAATCGTTAACTCACCACACCGACCGGGGCGGTCTTAGACTCCGGCCAATCACCGGCGACTATCTATTGTGGCACGGGTTAAGCCGATCACCCCACCCAACACGGCGCAAAGTAGCACTTCCATTAAAAATGAAGCTCTTTCTTTTTCTCAGTATCAAACAAACAACCAGAAGAATCTCGAAGCTTAGCACACAAAAAACAAGCAAAAAAACAAGAGGAAGCAAACAAGAAAACAAACAAACCGGGAAAAGAAGAAGATGAAGTTTGAAAAATCCATGTAAGGTTTTAACTGTAAGTAGTAAAAAATGTTGATCAAATGGAGAAATTAAAGCAAACGAAGGGAGTAATCACCAGGATCCTGGCGGCGAGCGAGTGAGAGGGGCCACGGTTGGAGAGCGAGTTGAGAGCCACCTCAGCGGCGGAGTGCTCGGCCTGCCGAAGAGTAGAGCAGTAGTGAGGACTCTCGAAGATCTCGCCGTTGAAGTTGACTGTAGCCTTGAAGCGAGGAGCGTGGTCCGGACCTTCCCGAATGCACGTATACGAGGGAAGGTTGAAGCAGCTCCTCTGCGCCAGCTCCTGCAGCTGGTTCTTATACATTTCAGTCTTCTCCTATCTTCTCCTTTCTGTTTTCTATCTCGGTTCCACTCTGACTCCCTCCGTCTCTTTCAACAGCGGGAATTCGAAGCCGGAGAAGAAGGAAATGAGAATCGTATGCGGATCGGATCGGCGAGTAATCGAGTCGGAGAGGCAAATGAGTACGATAGGATCAAGGTTTTTAGGGTTTTTGCTGTGCTGCAGGGATTGAAGAAGAAGAAGAAGAA